AGTTATTTACTCTTTATCTGTTATCCACTTTTTGTCGCTTTCTACCACCTTTTCTTCTCTTATCTTCCCCATCTATTGCCGCAACTCACGCCCAACAACAACCAATAACCGCTGGGTGGTGACATCTTCTCGTCCAGCCTAGCCCCGTCTCTCCCCGTCTCCAGAAGAAAAATAAAAGGCCCAGGTATCCATCCAAGCCTAGCCTAGCCTAGCTCCTGCAATCTCAAGATAGCCAGAAGTTTTATTTTTTTTCGGGCTCCTCGTGCCTCTCGCATCGAAACTCGACTAATTTAAGCGGTATACTTAAATAACTTACGGAGTACCATTCCACGGATTTTTTTTAATTTCCACTTTCCCACCAACAGGGATGCAGGCCGTGCATGACTCCGAAGCAGATTAAGCTATTTTTGGCTCTTATTGGCGGACAACTTAAGGCGACCGAGAAAAATAACAAGAGAACAAAAAGTTAGCGGGAAAAGAAAAAAAAGCAAAGGTTTGCAACAAACATACTTACATACAAACAACCCCCTGTTTTGCTTTTCTATTTGTCTTTCGGGATGTCGATGGAGTATTTTGTTGGTTGCAGATGGAGAACTTCGAAGCCACTTTTTCTTTTTCTTTTTTTTTTGCTTCTTTTGCTTCTTTTTTTGGGGTTTGGTCAGGTGGGGATATTGAGATTGGGGTGCTTAGGTAAGACGGCCAGGCGTTTTTGCGGAGATGGAAGAATGGGCGTGCCGGTAAGATGCATACAGAGATACCTCTGTTTTATTGGATGAATAAGGTAAGTTTGGTTATAGTAGGTACCACCATGAGTAAGCGTATTTATCCCCTCGACTTTACCGAGTTAGGTATCTCGTTGCTTAGTAAGGTCAGCCTAGTCACGGGGGCTGTATCTTGTACAATAATTATCAGGTGACCATTACTCATCACAAACGGACGGAGCCTTCCCGCAGTTCAAGATTGTCTTGACAGGCCGTTTCGTCTCTTCCCTGCTGCCTCCTGCATGCTCCGTGTAACCAGCCGCATGTCACGGAGTACTTAAGTGCTTCCACAAATGCTGCCTCATGTCGATGTCCGGTCGAGCTAGGAAGACCCCCTCTCAGCTTACTCTATATACTTAACTCCTCCAGTCAACCAACTCACTCTCTCTCCCTTTCGTCTCCTGTTGAATTTCCCTGGTCAAGTCACTGTCCATCTCCCTGGAGACTCATCCTCCGAGACACCATCAGTCGTTGCTTATCATCATGCCATGCCGTGCCACGATATGCCACGCCATGCGGAAACGAACCTGTCATCCCCCGGCCGTGCACCCCCAGCGAATGAAGTAGCACTGTAGAGTTACCCAAGCGAGTCCAACAAGTGGATGCCTCCCGTTCTCACGGGTCAGGTCAAAAAGAGGCTGCTTGTTGCTCCGGCTTTGCCCGGCTCTGTTTCCCCGGCCGAGTAGTTACATCCATGACATGATCTCTCCTTTTCTTGTACAACGAGCAAAACCAGCAAGACAGTCAACCTAACGCCCAGTTTTCATGTCCATCCATCCCACCGCCACAGCCAGATACTACCTACCTACCTACCTACCTGTCTTCTTCCCTCCTCTCACGACGTTCTCTCATCACCACGTTCTCTTATCACAGAACAACGCAGAGAAAAGCTCCGTCGTCCGTAAAGAAGATGTATCAATCTCGCTTCGCTTCTTGTGCTGACCCCACCTTCTTGCCGAAACAGGCATGGCTTCAAACCTAGGCGCGATCAGATTAGACAAGACAAGAGATTATCAATCTGATAACGAACATGCGCGAGAAAAATTTTCCTTGTTGCAAAGCCTATTTCGCCCCTCGCGGCTGTGTTATTGGCTGGAACTCGTGGAAGACGGCGGAACTGCTCGAGCTAAAGCTGGCTGATTTCACTGATTGATTAGATGAGGACCCTTGCAGTGGGCGCAAAGGCCCTCCGGGTAGTTAGTTATGGAGCTGCTGCGGTTATTATTTAAAAGACCCAGTTTCTCCCTCTCCCCTCTCGCCGTTGAGAACGACCCTGGTTTTTCGACGTCTGCCATTTTTTACTTCCTGTGCTTGTATGTTTTCAATTGAGTCGCGTGAGCTGGGGGCTGAGTTGAAGACATGGCCGTAGAAGTCGAAGAGAAGATCGCCGCGCCTGCTGATGCCCCGCCGGATTACAAGACGCAGCAGAGTAACGGTCATGTGCCCGCTGCTGATGGACAGCCGGTGATACTGGGCAAGAAGAGTCCCGGCGTGCTGCGTGTCGAGGTCATTTCCTCGCATATGACGCTGGTGGACCGCATTATTCTCTTCATCGGCATCTTCCTGCTTGCTTATGCTTATGGTCTTGATGGCACGCTGCGGTTTACATTCCAGGTCAGTTTCACGTCGTCGATGTCTATCCAGCACTTCTCGGTCATGCTAAATAGTTCATGAGTACAGACATATGCGACTGCGTCGTATAGTTCGCACAGTCTGCTGGCCACCGTCAATGTCCTGCGTGCCGTCATTGCGGCTGCTGCTCAGCCCACCGCCGCCAAAATGGCGGATGTCTTTGGCAGAGCAGAAGTCATCTTGTTCACCATTGTCTTCTACGTTATTGGTACGTTGGACATCGGTATTACATACTAACTACAGGATGACATACTAACGTGCTACTGCAGGAACCATTGTGGAGGCTACTTCGGACGGCGTCAAGGCGTTCTGTGCCGGTGCAGTGCTGTACCAAGTGAGTTATAGCTTGCTTCCCCCATAATACATCTACTAACGCCGTATAGATCGGCTATACATCGATCTTACTCCTGGTCGAAGTCCTCATTGCAGACGTGACCTCGCTTCAAACCCGTCTGTTCTTCTCCTACATCCCAGCAACGCCTTTCCTCGTAAGTCTTCACCTTTCTACCCAACTCCCAAGACCCATATTAACTCCCCTCTAGATCAACACCTGGGTCAGTGGAGACATCACCAACGCCGTCATCACTCACTCAACATGGCAATGGGGTATCGGCATGTGGGCAATCATATACCCCGTCAGCGCCATACCCGCCATCACAATCCTGTACATAGTCCAGCGCCGCGCAAAGAAAGCTGGTGCCCTAGACAGCTACAAGACCCCCTTCCAGATCTACGGCGGTAAGAAGATCGTCACCGCCATGTTCTGGCAACTTGACATCGTCGGAGTCATCCTGCTACTAGGCGTGTTCGCCTTGATTCTCGTCCCCTTCACCATCGCAGGTGGTGTTGAGACGCAATGGAAGACCGCAAAGGTCATCGCACCGCTCGTCATTGGCGTCTTGCTTATCCCCGTCTGGCTTTACTGGGAGTCTACCTGCTTGCATCCCATGGTTCCTTTCAGAGTACGTCTAATCCATCTTCTCGAATTTTGAGCTGAAGTTACCCTTGGCTAACTTGTATGTTTTATAGCTGCTTAAAGACCGTGGTGTATGGGGCGCACTTGGAATCGCCATTATGCTCAACACCGCATGGTACATGCAGGGAGACTTCCTTTATACCGTGCTGGTGGTTGCATTCAACGAATCCATCAAAAGCGCTACCCGCATCACCTCCATTTACAGCTTTACTTCCGTCATCACGGGTGTCGCCATGGGTGTCTTCGTTTACTTCTTCCGACGACTCAAGCTTATCATTGTTGCTGGAACGGTGCTGTTCCTGGTTGCTTTTGGCCTTTTGATTTACTACCGTGGTGGATCAGGCTATTCAAGCCATGCGGGTGTCATCGGCGCTCAAGTATTGCTTGGAATCGGTAAGTGTACCCAACCCATTATACACTATACATCAGCTAACATCCACCTAGCCGGCGGTATGTTTCCGTACCCTGCCCAGACATCCATCCAAGCCGCTACCAAGCACGAACGTAAGTCATACACTCCATCGGTATCAGCTATATCAGTTCATTGATTAACATGTCACAGACGTCGCCTTCATCACTGGTCTGTTCCTGGCCTCGTATAACATCGGCTCAGCCCTAGGAAACACCATCTCGGGCTCGATATGGAACCAGATTCTCCCCCAGGCTTTGATGCAGCGTATATCCAACCAGACACTTGCGGCGGAGATATACAGTGATCCATTCCCCTTTGCCACCGCTAACCCCATCGGCACCCCTGACCGAGACCACGCCGTCGAAGCATACAAGCATGTCCAACGCTTGCTGTGTATTGCCGGAATATGTCTCTCGGTGCTACTGATTGCCTTCTCGCTCGTGCTGCGTGATCCTGTGCTTGGAAAAGAGCAGAGTCTTGCGTTTGCGGACAAGGATTCGTCTGATGATGAGAACTCAGGTGCCGATGCTGCGGCTGTTAAGGTGTAGACGGCCAGTATCTACAGTTTAGACCTGTGCTATCATATCATATATGGATGGAAACTTAAAAAAAAAAAAAGAGGCGATATTCTTATTTGTTTGGATGATACCGCATGTTTGTTTAATTAATACACTTTGTTTAATATATCTTCTCTCTCGTCGTTAAATTTCCCTTACCTCTAACCAATGACTCCCCTTACTTGGTTACACGGTTGGTTGTCAGTCTAGCGAGATGCCACGTCTTCTGTTATTTCACGAATAGGAATTTCGCTACACCGCTAGATAAGGCTACCTGGGGTATATCAGCTGTAATTTAGTTGGCTAACAAGCGATCTTACCTTGTCCAGGTACCTCGTTGGGTTCTCGAGATACCGCTCTACGAAGAACCAGGATGAACTCGCACACCCGTGGCTATATCCCTTTCCATCTTCATGGTAGAATATAAACACTCCAAACTATAAGTACCGTGTTGTATATGCAAGTTACAAGTGACGATGTTTTAGAGTGGTCCGACAACCTTAAAAGCGAAAAGTGGGTCCGAAGCCTCGCCTGCGCCAACTATTTAAAGCGTCGAAGTTTCGCATCTGCAGACAAACCTCATAGCTAGTTAACAACATCAACACCGACCGGCTCCCTACAGCAGCGACTATATATCCCTATTCTTACCGGGCGGAGATAAAAACCCCAGTGCTATAGTATACCATGTGCATAGCTCTGATCTCGACCGCTCATCCGGGCTATCGTCTGATCCTCATCAACAACAGAGATGTACATTCCCCATACCCACCCAACTCATATCAATGAGTCCCTACTAACATGTGCCCAGGAATACCTCCGACGGCCAACATCAGCTGCGGACTGGTGGGCAGAACCAAACTCCCATGTCTTAGGCTCGCGGGACCTCGCCAGAGAAGTCCACGGGACATGGATGGGAGTGACCAAACAAGGCCGTCTGGCCGTTCTTACAAACTACAGAGAAAATACCCCCGAGACCGTCGTTGGTCTCCGGAGCAGAGGATCCATCATCAACGGCTTCCTTGTGCTGCCTCCAGACAGCCCCATGACGGCCCAGCAGTACATCGAGGAGCTTGTTGCTGGGGGTGAGGGACAGGCAGCTGGCGGGTTCAGTCTTGCATGTGGCGATGTAATGGGGCCGTTGGGTATAGTATCCAACCGTGCTTCGGCAGGCGATGAAATACCCTGGGTAGCTACGGGGCGGAACCAGACGGTTGGGCTAAGCAATACGGCATTTGGGGATCGGTCGTGGCCGAAAATTCTTGAGGGTGAGAGGCTGGTGAAGGAAGCGTTGCAGAAGAGCTATTCAAAGCAGGAGAGTGAATCGGAGCTTATTGAGCGGTTACTGGGCGTGTTGAGCACGGATACGCTGCCAAGATTACATGATCGTGCCACGTTGGAGGAATATATACCGTTTTTAAGTGAGAGTATCTTCATACCTGCTGTTGGAGATCCGGATGAGGGAGTGGATGTTGTTGTATCGCACGGTGCGGAGGCACATACGTTGTACCTGAAGGGGATGTACGGGACGCAGAAGCAGACTGTTATTTTGGTTGAGGAGTCTGGGCGGGTGAAGTTTTTTGAGCGCACGCTTTATGGGGATGACACGAGGAAGATTCCGGTTGGGGAGGGAGACAGAGAGTTTGAGTTTGTGGTTGAACGGTAGGGTTACTTCGCCTTTTGACTGTGTCCGGGCTGTTTTAATGCTGATTTCTATCTAGAACTGAAGAGTCAGAGACACAGGCAAAGGCCCATTTATAGACTGGATTGGCTTTTATTGGTATAACTGTATATGAATGAACCTGCATGGCTCTAGGCGTTTTGAGCGATATTCGGGATATATATATCTACGGAGTTTCTATCAAATGATTTTTTCTCCTAATGCTACCCAAGCATTACATCTTCCTTTTCAACAGCCCTTTGAAGAAATCAAAGCTGTTACTATCACTTTGCAACTGCCAGACCTTCCCCGTCGGCCGATCCTCCCATCCCAGCTCCTCAGCAATCAGAAGTCCATAATCCCTGGTGATACCCTTGATCTTTGCACGCACTCCGCCCTCGGCCTCTAACGTAACGATCTGGTCCATATGAAGCCAGTTGGAGTAATACATGTCTTCAAACTCCTTGTCGAAGCCAGTGCGGAGGAAGCGGGCATACAACTCTTCAAAGGTGGTAAGGATACGGGCTAGGAGTTTTTCCAGAGACGGAGGTTCTGGGTTTGATGTCGTTTTGAAGGTTTGTAGGAGGGCGTTTAGGGATGTTGTGGGGGCTGGGTTTAGAGCGTTGAGGCCTGCGCCTACCACGGCGATGTATTCGCTTGATGAATAGTGGGCGTTGACTAGGATGCCGCCTATTTTGGTGTATGTTTTGCAGGTTGGATCGGATGGATCCAGGGCGTCTGTAAATGCTGGTTAGCAGGGTATATACTAAAAAGCATTGACTGTTTAATGACATACATATATCGTTTGGCCATTTTAATTTTATTGGCAAGGTGTCGTAACCCTTATCGTAGGTCTTGACGCCCTGGACGATGGCCATGGCGACGAGATACTGGATGAAGACTACGGGCGCAGACATGAGCTTGTCGACTGGGTGGTGAACGCAGACGGAGAACATGAGCTGGCCTGGCGGAGAGACCCAGACGTTTGAACCACGGCCTCGACCGGCAACCTGGACGGTGGCTGTGGCCGTGGTGCCGTTGGGTAGTCTTCGTAGTAGACGGGAGTTTCTTCATCCTGTTAGTCACATCATGAAGCTGTGCTGGGGGTCCGGTTGATCTGCTCACTTTTCTAAAATGGTATTGGTACTGGTAACAACTTCACCATATAGCATATGCGAGCCAAAGGCCCGGGAGTCCTCTTTCGACTGGTGTCTATACTCCCTCAAATTCGAGTAAAATGCATGGTGGTTAAAGTAAGGGGTCGTCTTGGTATCTGGCAGCTCGTCGTTAACCACCAGCCGCTTGACAACGGCGTTATAATCGACTATTCTGTCCTCAACGTCAGTAGCAGCAGCCTCAGTCGTGGTCGTCGGAGTGCTTGAGCTTTCTGGCAGTGCCTCTGCAACCTTGGTCATCTTCATGGAGGACGGCTTCTCGAGGATGAAGGTATCATTATCATCCTTGATGTAGTCCTCGCCATCCTCTGTGGTGACGACATCTTCCAGGGAGGAGAGAACCTGCAGAGCAGCGCCTGGCTCGAGGGCAGAGAGATGGATCTGAGAGAGGGACGGTACCGTAGCTGTATCCTGGTTGATCTGGAGACCGAGTTTGGCCAGACATGCCTTGAGGAAGTCTGTCCGGAACTTGTCGTCTCTGGCCAGCAGATCCACGACAGAGGAATAGTCAGGGGCCGAAGCCTCATCTCGGTCCAAGTTTGCAGCAGAGAATCTACCCTCGTTAGCTAAAAATATATCACCGTATCGGAATGGTAAGAGGTATAGCTCACTCTGGATGAGGCCCGGTCAAGATGGCCGCGCCGTCTCCCACCGGACAGTAGACAACGGCCGCCTGGCCCTCGCCTGGGTCAACATGTAGCTTCTCCGTGTAGCTGGCGAGCACTTCTACGCCCCGGTCGGCGTACTTGGGCGCATCGACGAAGACGCCGCCGCCGTTGTAGTAGCACTTGAAGGTATCCGGGACGCTCCCCACGGGCAGCGCAGACCGCGAGACCTGCAGCTCCGCCGCCCTGGCCCCTTCTTCGGAGTGATAGACGAAGCCGGCAAAGGCACATCCTCTTGCTATGCCCGGGAAGAAGGCCAGCTCTCTGTCTCCGACGACCTCGAGCTTCTTGTTGCCGACCTCGAACTCGCACCGCGCGCTGCCGTAGTAGCCGCCCGCGCAGAGGCCGAGATAGCTGCCGCCGCGCTGGACGAACTGCTTGATGCGCCGGTTCCCTTCGCCGTTCAGGGTCCTGCAGTACGGCAGGTCAGCGCCGCCGGGCATCACGAAGAGGGCGCAGGAGGCGGTCCAGGGCTCGCCGACGACCATCTCGCCGGTGACGGGGATGACGGCGTAGTTGGGCGACAGGATGCGGCGCAAGGTGTACAGACACTGCCGCACGGAGTCCACGGTCGTGCCATTGCCTGGAGGCGCCGTCAGAATGTTTTCTCGCCAGTCAGGGTAGGTTTGCGCACCGGAATATACCAGGACGTTGAGTCTCTTGGAGGAGTTCTTCGTCTCCATCTTCTTCTTCTCCTTCAGCCGGAGCAGCTGCAGCGCACGACAGACAGGGCCACCACGATGTCCGGGACGGAGAAGCGGCCGCAGACGGTCCAAGTCGACGACGACGAGCCTGATGACTGGTATTTATCCTCTCTCTATCCTCTGCGTCTGCGGGTTCTTCGCTGTTTTGCTTTCGGTGTTTCTTCTGGCTGACCCGCACAGGGACAAGCGAATCTTCAGCACCGGCTGCGCAGGTAGAAACGCCCTGTGGACCGCGATAGATATTGGCAGCAGTAGCACTGACAGAGTCCAGACGAGCAGCTGAAGATGAACGACTGTTACTACGCAAAGAGGGACTGGCGGGCGTGCAGCAAGGAGGTGTGTCTCTTCTTTTTCTTCAGTGTCTCTTGCGGAGGGGAATGTTTTTATATTGCTTCTTTGCAGTCCGGAAGGCCACCGAGCAACGCAGCTGCGGCCAGCGGAGGGTTCTTCTCCTGCCGGCACGCTGGATCTGAGGCTGCGATGTCTGTCCTTACGGTGTTTCTGGTCGACGGTGATGCTGACGGCGGTTTTGTTCTACAGATGCAGGCCTTCCGGGAGTGCTGGAAGCGCCACGGCAATGACCAGCGAACGGAGACTCGCGATGCTTAGACCTGTCTCCTCCTCTTGTACCGGCTACATTCTCTCTTCTCTCTTCTCTCTGCTCTCTGGGCTGTATTCTATCTCTCTCTTTTCCTGTCTTCTTACTTGCCTGTATTATTATTATCAATATCAACCAATCGATCACGGGATCTCCAGCTTTTTCTCTTCTTCGGCCTCAAAACGCCAACCTGAACGCCAGCCAAAGGGGCCATTAACGAAGATATAAGAAAATAAGGAAGAAGGATGGCTTCACGGGCGATGCGCAGGGTGAGCTGGGCCAGCGTGTCCCGTCCATCGACATACTCGAGCCTCGCGGTGAGCTCGCCGGCCTCGCGGCTGATATCGTCTTCCTCCAAGCCGGCGTCAACAGCAGCTTCAAAGCCAACAACAACATACACACGAAGCACCTCCAGCAATTACCCCAGGAGGACATACAACAGCTACAACAAGACCCCGTCGTCTTCCCCGTCCTCTTCTTCACCAGCTTCATCAAGCTCAGCTCCTAAACCCGCCTCCTCGACACCCGCAACTCCAGCTTCATCTTCAGACACATCCTCACCACCAGCATTCACGACAGCACCGACCTCCCACCCGATACAGAACATCACCAAGACAGGCCTTGCAGATGCCCCTCCAGATCTCGTGCTGGAGCCCGCAAACGTGCCCAATGGCCATGTCGACTGGACTCGCTCATATCACGGGCTAAGCGCGGAGCCGTTCTCAAAGGAAGCTGCTGCAGTCCTGCTTGCACCTGTTGATCCAGACGATGTCGAGATCAAGCCTGATGGGATAGTGTATTTGCCTGAAATCAAGTACAGGCGTATACTCAACAAGGCGTTTGGGCCAGGCGGGTGGGGTCTTGTACCGCGCAGTGAGAGCATAGTTACAGGCAAGACGGTAACAAGAGAATATGCTCTTGTCGCCCATGGACGGTAAGTCTGACATCCTTCCACTATATCTACTGGTGATGAATGATACATGCTGACAAACTGCAGGCTTGTATCTGTATCCCGCGGTGAGCAAGACTACTTCAGTCCAGACGGCATACCTACTGCCACGGAAGGGTGCAAGTCCAACGCGATGATGAGATGCTGCAAGGACCTGGGGGTTGCGAGCGAGCTGTGGGATCCCCGCTGGATCCGCAAGTTCAAGGCAAACTATGCAAAGGACGTGTTTGTCGAGCACATGGTGAGCAAGAAGAAGTCGAAGATCTGGATACGCAAGGACGACGAGGTCATGTACCCCTGGAAGAAGACATAGGTGGTAGTGTAGTGTAGTGTAGTGTATTATAACTGGTAGCATGCATGCGTGTATAATAGGATAGACAAAACTCATCTACAGATCGCTGGTATTTTTTTTCCTGTGTAGATGGCAATGTGCTTTGCTCAAGCTGTGAGCAGTATGTACAGCCGTGGATAGATGTAGGTATATGTACAAGTGGGTCATCCATGTATCCAGCCAGCTAAAATCCCAAATAAATAAATGCAAGAAAAGATAGCCGTAGACAGGTAGGAAATAAAGAAAGTAAGATCCGTCCATGCAAAGAAATCCCAAGTAAGGAGAGCTTTTTTTGGTGACACCGAACACCATGCGCCGTAACATTGAAAATAAAACACCAAATAATCAACAAGAAGGAGAATGGATATGTAGATGGGTAGGTAGATCAAGTACTTGGGTTGGTACTCGGCTCCGTACTCGGGTTAGCAGTTGTGGTAGTACCTGTACCTGCGTTGGCAGTGGCAGTGGCAGTGGTGGTGTTGGGGACAGGGACAGGGGGAGCGTCGGCCTCCCCGTGCGGCCTGGTGCGTATACGGAACCGCTCGACAAAACGGGCAGAGAGCCGGTTGCGTCGTCGTTCTTCTGCATTTGCGTGTCTGGACCGTAGATTACGAGCATGCTGGAGCGTGGCCTCGTGGCCTCCGGCTTCGGTGGAAGTACCTCCCGTCGAGGCACGGGCATTTCTGATCCTTTCTCTTTCCCTGGCATCGATGGCAGGGTCTCCTTCGATGCCGGTGATGGTATCATGATGCTGTTGCTGTTGCTGTTCCTGTGCGTCCGGGTTGAGATTGATTCGGCTATCAGGCTGTTAGTATATACATATAGACATACACAAGTAAAATGTAGTAAGGTAGACGTACCAGAGAGGACAGGTGCCGGAGACGTCGACGAGCCATGGATCGACGCACTCTGGGTGGAAGGAGTGGTTGCATGGCAGGAGACGGACGTCCTGGCCACGAACGAACTCATCCGTGCAGATGGGACAGGTAGTAGACGGTTCTCGCTCGGAAGTTGCTGAGCCTGCAGCTGAGCCAGACGGAGACGCAGAACGAGGCTGCTGCTGCTGTTGCTGCTGCTGCTGCTCTACCGGGACATCCGCTGTAGACAGTGCTGGCGCAGGTGCACCAACATCTGTATTCGCAACAGCCTCTGTCTGTTCTGGATTCTGTTGCCGAGACTCCGGCCGGGTATGGGGATGGGCGTCGTCACCGAGCTCGACGTCATGCTGCTTTGAGCGCTGCTCACTGTCCTCGCCGAACTTGACAATGGGCAACGTATCCAACATGGCCCTGGCAATCCCCTTTGCTCGACTCTGCCTGGCTCTCCCGGGCAGATTGCGAGGCCCGTAGCGATCCGGATGGCGGTGTGCCCGGATGGCACCGGTCAAGATGACTGCTAGAAACAGGAGGGTGATGATGCCGGTGACGGTGTAGAGGATGATCATGGCGGTGTTGCGGGTGGTCTCGACTCCGTTGTTGCGCGGGTCTCCCTGGTGCGGCCGCGAGGGCTGGGGGTCTTCCTGCAGCGACTGGGCGGCCGTGACGGGCCCGGCGGTCGAGATGGTCGCATTATGGCGCTCGGTCGAGGTGAGCAGGGCGTTGGCGAGCTCCGGATCACGCAGCGAGAAGATGGTCTTGTAGGTGGTGGCCGGGTCCTCGTCGTGGTCGGCCTCGTAGTCGCAGCGCACGGCGTGGGTGGTGTACAGCAGGATGGCGGCGGGACGGCGGGAGGCGGCGAGCAGGGCAACCAGGGTGTCGTTTGGGTCGATGTTGCCCGGGTAGTCGTCCGGGTCGCAGGAGAGATACGCAATGTCCGTCTCCTTGAGCCGCTGGACGTTCCTGTGGCTCACGATGACCAGCCGGCCCACGATGCGAAGGTCCTGCGCTGCAGTCAGTATATACAGCACTACTATGCAGACGGCACACGACACCAACGCCGCCGCCGCCGCCGCCACAACACCACCACCACGGCACCACGACGGCAGCAGAAGAAGACGAAGAAGAAAAAGAAGGAGATCACCTTGAGAGCTTCATCGGGGGCGTAGAGGTTCGACGTCGACGGGTAGAGGTGCAGCTTCACGCGGTCGTCGTAGGGCTCTGGGTCGAGGTCGAGCGAGTACAGCGGGCTGCCGACCTGCAGCTGGCCGCGGGTGTCGAGCGGCGTGATCGTCTGGGCGGCGGCGAGTGCTAGGCTGAGCCCGAGGGCGATGAGCCGCCAGAGGGAGGCCATGCTGGGGACATGAGAGTGAGAGGTGGGAGTTGAAGATGTCGGAGGTTGAAGAAGTTGAGGTTGAAGAAGTGAGGTTGGAGATGAGACGATCGACGGCGACGCAAGATGAAACCCGGATGTCTCGCGGGCGACCCGGCGGTACTTCGAGGTACTTTGGATGCTCTCTCCAGTAGGCTGATAGACCCCCTGCTGACCCTCTAGAGGATGTTTGCTGCTTTGCTAGCGATTACTGCTATGCGAGGCGATCGGCTGTTACTGCTCGCTCGCTGCGGGCGCTGGTGGTTGGCTTGCGCTTCTCCAGCCGAGCAACGAGATCGCCTGGCCTCGTATTCCGCATCCTTTTCTCCTCTCGCGCTGCATTAGCGGCTGATCTTCCTTCTGGAGACGTCAGCGGCCTACTGGAGATGCGATAACTATGCACAGTACGTGGAGATACGTGGTCGTGGAGGCTGGCGATCAATCGAAGGCTCGATGGACTTCTGATACAAGATACCCGAGATACCCAGAGAAGAGAGAGAAGACAAGAAAAGCAGAAGACAGAGAGCTTCATCTTGGTTCAACCCGCTCGATGTTGTTTGAGTCGATTTGGTTGTTGATATCGACTACCTGATAGCACCTTTATACCCTACCTCAATATCTACAAGGACCGATTTAAGGTCGAGATCAGATTGATGGAGAGACCAAGAAGACTCAGATGATGCTGGCAGAGGCTAAGCAGTGATGTCTTGCAAGCATCTATCTAGAACTCATACACTGTGCCTCTGCATCGCCAGACCAAGCGAGAGCGGAATAAGTAACTAGAGTCTAGTATAGAGCAATCCACCACTGCCTGTCTATGCCTGGCGAGCCATAGCAGGGAATCCGGAACGGGGTTATAGCCAGAGTACTGGAAGTATGGTACTAGAAGTAGAGTAGTAGCAGTGGTTGCTGCGATGGTAGAGACGATTGTTGATGTTGATATGTTGATATATTCGAGAGATAAAAGAATAAGCAGAAGAAGACAAGAGACATTATATACGGCTATATACAATCAGTATGAGGCTACATTTTATATAAAAAAGGTATCACTTATCTTTGACAATTGTATGTGTTCTATAGTCCGGTAGATAGCTGGCGATAGTTACCATTAACTAGTTATATGTGATAACTAGCTGGTGGTGACACTCCGCAGTTGCCGGCGGAAAAGCGGAAAATCCAACCTCAACTGAACACTCGACGGTGATCAATTGAACAAACGACTAGGATAGATGCAGAAGAGATGCAGATTTGATACAAGATACCCAGAGATACCCAGAGAAGAGAGAAAGACAGACATCTAATATAGGACAGACGAGACATTGAAGGTCCTTGTCAACAGTGTTGCTGATTCCTTGCAGTTGGACGAGCTGTAGATGTCGCAGATGCCACCGGTCGACCAGACAGAGACATACAGACGACCGTCTAGTAGTCTATCAGCATGACTGATACTGAATAAGATCAAGAGAAGAGAATACATACCGTTGGAGATGAGGTGAGTGCAGATGGGCCAGGTCGCGTCGACGAGTCAACAGTCCTTTTTGCCTACTTGCTTGCACACGCGGTACCTTCGCAGACAGAGACGGAGGGCATAACTACTGATCAGCACGGTGGTGACGGCAGAGCTTCATCTTCATTTAACTTGCTTGGTATCGATTGATTTCGATTGAGTTGATTCGGTTGTTGGAATTGACAACCTGATAGGGCTGGCGAGCGATCTGTATACCTGTAATACCTCTATATCAACATATCTACAAGGACCGAGTTAAGGACAAGATCAGATCTAGAAGAGACCGAGAATGCTCAGATAATATAGGCAGAGACTGAGGAGTGGTGTCTTCTTACGCCCGCCGGTCCAGCTTCTCGCTCCGGTCCCTGGGCAGTCATCTTCTAACTGACCCCTCCCCCAAGTCTTACTACAAGGACTCCAACTTATATCAACGTCTTAAGCATCAATTTAAGGGCTGTTATCCACAAGTACTGATGCAACGGTGCCTCTCGTATCCCTAGGTGAAGCGGGAGCGGAATAAAAAGTCGATCTCGTATTGAGAAATCCAGCACTGCCTTCTTACCCGCCCACCGTACGGAGTACGCCCTGACGAGAGCCAAAGACAGACCAGACCGGACACACTTGGAGATCAGGTTCCAGCAACAGTCAAAATGATGGCAGTTCAAGTCGTATCACAAAAGTCGAGCCGCAGTGCTGATCAGTGGGATTGTTTCTATATTTATAGTCCAGCTATAGATATATGAATACCCCCTTCGACCGCCTACCTACAGCTCGAATGACAACTTGGATAACCATCAACATTCAACTATACTTGACATTTTCAAGATGAAGCTTTCTCCAGTCGTGATCAGCCTGCTCCTCAGCGCTGTTAGCGCCTCTCCCGCCCGCACTGCCCTCCTCACCCGAACCGTTGGATCCAAATGCACGGCTCCTGAGGGCGAAGGATCATGCCAGCAGACAAGTGCCTGCAAGGGCATCTCGTACTCTCAGGCTCTCTGCCCAAACGATCCAGCCGACGTTCAATGTTGCGTTGAACATGAGTGCAGCACCGGTGCCGGCCATGGGTTCTGCCGCAGCCTCTCAAACGGTTGTCCAAGCGGTCGTTTCGACAAGGGATCCGGTCCAGTATGACATCCATCTGTCTACATCTGTTACTACCCATGAACTATAAAGCTAATACTGCCGTCTAGAAGTGGCCATGCCCAGGCGGCGATAACATACAATGCTGCATCAAGAGAGAAGACGATAACCACCCCCCACCCCCAGGGGACGGTAGTATCGGTCAGAAAATCCTCGATAAGGCCCTGACTGCAGCGGGCGTACCGTATGCTTGGGGAGGAGGCAGCTGCGAAGGCCCAACCCACGACATGCCTCCCTGGCAGAACGGTGAGATCGGGTACGACTGTTCGGGCCTAATAGGCTGGGCTGTCTGCCAGGTCACCGGGCGAGATTTGTTCAGCGAAGGCCTGCGAGTTACTAGATCCATGTACTGTGCTTCAGAGGAGAAGCTGCGCTATAAGTACGTTCCATGCCTCCTCCTTATGGCTGACCTTGTTACTAACGATGGACTAGGAAATACCCCTTTGCCGAACGTAAGCCGGGAGATGCCGTGTTCTTCGGCGGAAGCTGTGATTGTGGAAATCCAGATACCATTCACCATGTTGGCCTGATGATGTATGTATATCCTATATGTCTTCATCTTCGTCGTCTATTCTCTTTTCATTATTCGCTGACTTCCTCTAGGGACTCTGGGGATCGTATGTGGAATGCACCCAACGACGATGTTAACCAGGTGCAGGAGAACAGCATCTCAGGGTTCGGCGAGAAGCCTTGTCCAGACGTCGTTCGCTTTGAGTAAATCGAACTGGTAGATAGCAGTCTTTTCTTCTTGTATACCCTACTATTCTTCTTCTTGGTGATGGGCTGAGGTCGACCAGTTAGCTACGGTTTACTTATAACCCCTGCTCTTACTACTCTTGTTAAGCCTTTACCCCTGAATATGTAAGACTTTTTCTCCTCTTATACCACTTGTCATATTAACTGGCTATTTTTATACTACTCTAATATTCGACCCTTACTATTGCTATAGCAGCTCTACTATAGTTAGTCTTAGCTTATCTTACTCAACTCCATCAAGCTATCACTCCGCAATTACTATAAATATCACAGCTCGTTTCACCGAAATAAGCATGATATCCAATATATATTAATTGACACCCACTCCGACATCCACAAAATTACTGTCCTATCGGGTTGTTCTAACAGTCCACAGGCAAGGCAGGCTGGTCGGTATTCTCCGAAGCTAGCTCAACCTCCGCAGCCCTACGCCTCACCAGGCCAGGCAGAACATGTCCACCCGCCTTGTTCCACAGCGGCAGCTCCTCTCTGATCACCACATCAACATCCTGCCCCTGGTTGAGCCGGCTGATGAGGGAAGACTTCTTCGCTGCGTCCCCACCGACATTGTAGGCCCATGACACCAGAGCACCGTACTGGTTGGCGTTGAGAACTACCTGATCTGTAGTAGACAGGGTGATTGACTGTTGGGGGCTCTAAACAATGTTAGTATGACGGTTACCAACGATGGTATATTATGTCCTTACCTTGACATCCTGCATGAGTAGTTCGGTAGCCGTCTCTTCGGTTAGGGGAAACGAAAAGGGGACTTCAGAGCACCCGTTTGTGCGGCAGAGATGGCCGTACCCGACTGTTGGAAGGCCGATTGGGTCCGGAGCAGGACGAGGAACGAACCCTTCGAAGTGCTTGATCAGGGCGATGGTTTCGTCATTGACGTCGGGTCCGATGCAGTCTCGTTTGAACTTGGAGCCAGAGTCGTTGGGCTGGGCTAGGGCAGGAATAGCAAGTAGCAGAATCGTTGCCGGATGCATCCTGATGGTCTCCCGACGTTGGCTGATAATGATCGGATGGCATTATACAACTGGACCATGATGTCTCTCTATCTTTATATCTCATATCCATCTCGACCTGGACGACAGCGACAACCGACACCGAGTACCATGGACGATATACTGGCAAGACAATAACCACCAAGTCAATGGCCGAAGGCAATATCTGTAGGGCTGAGGACCGGAGTTGCAGAGTCTCCTGGCACTGACATGGCCGTGTTTGAGATGTCAGATTGCAGGGTCCCGGGGGGTCCAAGTGACCTAATTATATCATTATCCCCCGACGTTTGACTAGCAGAAGAAGCAGTTAGCAAGCAATGCTCCTGTATCACTACTCCGGGCCGTCTGCTTAAAAAGGAGGATGTTTGGTAGAGGTTCGTGGCGACCTTACCCCTGAGCCTGACTGCGGCCCGTAAGCCATCCGCGCCCTAGGACCCTAAGGCGTCCAAGAGCTAACCAGACTTGAAGAGACGAAAGACGAGAAGATCTCACTCTCATGGTACGAAGAACGAGCATATCCGGCTGAAGACAAGAGCGTAGAGTGTGTATGTCTGGCCCTGGTGACGGGTATAAAGGGGGAGGCCGGCCATAGAGCATCCATAGAGCATCAAACCGTTATCCTAGAGAATAAATAGATCATAGGAAACAGATATCATCGTCTTCACCATGAGGCCTCTTCTTCTCACACTGTTCACGGTGTCTGCTGCTGCTGCTGCTGCTGCGTCGGCCGTCGACCTCCCTCTCGTCCCTTGCCAGACGCCCGAAGTAAGAAAAACTCCAACATCTCGACGTCAACGACACTTCTTCAACGACATCCAGCACCGCCAGCTAACAACCGACTAACTGTCGACGCCAACAGGGCCGTGGAATCTGCCAGGTCGCCGGTCGGTGCTTCGGAGCCTCCAAATGGTATCTGTCTCCTCGCTCTGGCTCTGTCGTTGAAATGGTGGAATCGGATACTGACAGCTGTAGGCATCCCAGCTGTCCCATTACCGGCCGCTGCTGCATCAGCCCTCTGGCGAGACGGGAAGAACCAGATGATGAATGCTCGTCGCCAGCGCCGAATTCGTGCAGCTTCTACTCGGCGTGTCTCGAGAAAGGGATCGCCTGTGGGCCGGACGGCTACGCTCTCGCTTATGGAGACCGCTACTGCAACCGCTTCTCAGCCGCAAGCCCACAGCTCTCCGCCAGCGGCCAGGAATGGGTCACCAAGACGATGCTCTGTCTGCAGCAGAAACTGGTGCCTGTGGCCCTGGGGAAGATGAGCAGGTCTCGACCTGTCCGGCCGTGAGGGAGTTTGCCTTCTCGACGCATCCGGAGTGCTACATCGAGGGGGGTGTCTGTCTGCTGCCCCCGACGGACTGGCTGGTCATTGTGGGCACGGTTGGCTTTACGGAGCTGTTTGATAGCATCGAGGCCCTGGCTGCCACGCTGAAGACCGTCAAGGGCTGTCTCGACTTTTATCTCTGGCTCATCAGGAACAATTTCATCCATCAGCCGTTGGACTCAAACTCGGTCCAATCCAACTAACTAATCAGTTAATTTAACTGCTATTCGCCAACGACCAGAGTAACTAATTCTACCCCTGCTAATAGACGCACGGCGTACGGTCATCTCCCCAAGGTCGACCTGTCAGCCCTCTGGACGCAAGGATACGTAATGCTCAATGCCCACGAAGCCGGTGGAGCGTTGTTCTGGGCCTGGTGGAGATGAAACCCGCCGCCTCTCGCTGCCGTCTTTTCTTTTCTTCTTCATCTCGGCCTTTTCTTTTCCCTCTCCTCTCGTCTTCTCCATCTCCATCTTTTTCTCTCTCTCGTTTTTTTAACTCCGCTGATCAGTCTTTACCTGCTTTGTTCCTTGTTCATCGTCACGCTCATTTGTTTCTTGCCGGGATCTTCCCTTCGCTCGTTTTATATCACAGTAACCCTGACATTCATTACATCTATTCCCGGTTCATCGAAGTAGATATATTTATATATTCCTTCTTTCCCGTCGTATATCTGCTTTTGCTTGCTCGCGTTTCTCCTGTCAATCATTCCCCATGTCCAGCCGTCCTGGCATCGGCAAGCGGTTCTCCCACGACAGGTTCACCATCCTCCCGGACTCAGATCCCAACTCCAACGGCAATCCCAACGGCAGCGGCATGTCCAAGGACGCCACTATCGACATCCCTCTGACGGCCGTGCCTAGTGTGTCACAGACTGGTGCCCGCAAGCCAGAAGACGGCGAGCACTACTTCGAAAAGAATCATGATGGTGGTGGTGATGCCGGCGGCGAGGGCGCAGAACGCCAGATAGGCGGCCGCCGTCGAGCTCACGGCCATCACCATTACGGTGACAGATCGGCCACCTCAGACGAAGACGGGACCATCACCCGTATGGGAAGATTTTACAATAAGATCCTCAATTTCTCCGTCGTCACTAGATATTTCATCTACGTCCTGCCCGTCGCTTTGCTTTTTGCCGTGCCTATCATAGTTGGTGCCGTTGCTGCTCCCACTGCCAGCATTGGTGGTGTCCGCATCGTCTGGTTCTTCGCCTGGGTCGAGATCGTCTGGCTCAGTTTGTGGGTGTCAAAGGCCGTGGCTCACTATGTGCCGTTCGTCTTTCAGTTCCTCTGTGGTATCGTCAGCTCAGGGACCAGGAAATATGCTCTCATCCTCAGGGCGTTGGAGATCCCCTTCTCCCTCGTCGGATGGGCCATTACCTCCCTGGCTACTTTTATTCCAGTGCGTGTTCTCCTGTCAAACATCTGATTACACTACAAATGCTAAATACTATTGTGTCTAGGTGATGACTCGTAACCCCGATAATATCAAGGACCCCCGGATCCAGCCATGGCAGACGGTTGTCAACAATATCTTGTTTGCCTGTTTCATCTCATCTCTCATTCTGGCTGCCGAAAAGGTCCTCGTTCAGCTGATTTCAATCTCCTACCACCGCAAGCAATTCGACTCGAAGATTCAAGAGTCCAAACGAAACGTCCATCTGATCAGCATGCTCTACGCTGCCTCTCGCAAAATGTTCCCGGAGTATTGCAAGGAGTTCGAAATGGAAGATTACATTATCAACGACTCCATCATGGGCATAACGGGCAAGAAGAAGGGCCATGGCCGTTCAGGATCTGCCTCTCCCATGCGTTTGATCCAGAACGTCGGTCAGAACGTCGGCCGAGTAGGTGACAAGATCACTGCCGCGTTCGGCCATGTCGCGCAAGAAATTACGGGAAAGCAAGTCTTTAACTCCACTTCTGCCCATTCAATTGTTATTCTGGCACTGGAGAAACGCAAGTCTTCTGAGGCCCTGGCTCGCCGGCTGTGGATGTCGTTTGTACTTCAGGGACGAGATGCTCTATACCTTGATGACTTATACGATGTCTTTGGGCCAGACCACCGTGCCGAAGCAGAGGAGTGCATGGCTGCTCTAGACAGAGATGATAACGGCGATATCAGCTTGGACGAGATGATCCTTACAGTCACTGAGTTCGGCAAGGCGAGACAGTCCATGAGCAAGTCCATGCATGATGTTGACCAGGCCATCAACGTCCTTGACAATCTCCTCTTAGCCGTCGTCTTCATCTTGGTCGTTCTCGTCTTCGTCGCATTCCTAAACAAGGGGTTTGGCACCACCTTGGCTGCCGGAGCTACGGCTCTTTTGTCCCTCTCCTTCGTTTTCGCTGCCACTGCCCAGGAGGTCCTCGGCTCATGCATTTACCTATTCGTCAAGCATCCTTACGATGTTGGTGATCGTGTCCATATCAACGACAATGAGCTCATGGTTGAGCACATCTCCCTTTTGTTCACCGTCTTCCGGAACATTCAGCACCACAAGACCATCCAGGTACCCAACATCGTGCTCAACACCCAATGGATTGAGAATGTCACTCGCTCCAAGGCCATGCGTGAACAGATCACGCTAACCTGCGACTTTGGTACCTCTTTCGGCGACATACAGCTTCTCAAACGTGAGATGCAAGCCTTTGTCCGGGCCAAGGATAACGCCCGTGACTTTGGCCCAGATGTCGATATCGAAGTCTCGGGTCTCGGAGAGATGAACAAACTTGAGCTCAAGGTTGAAATCCACCACAAATCCAACTGGCATAATGAAGTTGTTCGAGCCACCAGACGATCCAAGTTCCTCTGTGCATTGGTCCTAGCTATAAAGAAGATCCCGATCTACGGTCCTGGAGGTGGCGATGCCGCTCTCGGCGATATCTCCAAGCCATCGTACTCTGTTTCCATCTCCCATGAACAAGCCCAGCACAGCAAGGACGAATATGCCGCCAACAAGGAAGCCAAACGCATGATTCCAACGGACCAGATGGACGAGGCCCTCTCTGCCGATCCTGCACCCTTATCTCCTCGCCCGGGCGCTGGTACAGGTGCCGCAGCAGCAGCAGCAGCAGCAACTTCTGCCTCAGGCCTAACATACCGCGGCTCCACAGCGAGCAACTCAACGTCCAACGTCCACTCACCACATAACCCCGAAGCTGCATTCGCCAGCGCCCTTAACTCCCGTCCCCCAATGGAAAGCACTCCGTCCTCAGCAAATGTTACACAAGAACATCTTATCCGCGGACCCTCAACGGGACACAGACGCCTGAGCCAGAACCCTAACCAGAACCCATCTGGCCGTCAAGGCATGTCACCCAACACACCCGCTACCGAATACCAGCAATACGACTACGATAATTCAAATAACCCATTCAGGGCAGCTAGTCCACCAGCCCAGATGTACGGCCAACCCGGTCCCTCCAGCCAGAGCCCGACCCCGCAGGGTTCTGTCCATCCCGCTACCATCATAGCCAGGGGTCAAGGTCAGGGACAACAAGATCAGGCTCCACTAGGCCAGGGGCCCCCGCGTGTCTAACGCAGTTGATCAATTGAATTGAATTGTTTTGAATGACGGGAGGCATGGCGCGATACGGTGTGATTTGAATTTCTAATCTCTTTGGGCTACGTGGATGGGTCAAAAGTTTCCCTCTTTCCTTCTCCCAGATTGTTAACCATACGTTTCATTTGGCTCTTTTGATTTTATCACTTATATATTATAGACTACTCTCCCTTTCAGCACGAGCACCAGCACAAACTGCTTTCTTTTATGTTCTTAGCCAAACATGGCTTAGGATCCGTTCTGGCTGGGCCAAACACCTTCCTTCGTCTGCCTTATACGTCCTATACACATAGATATTTACTACATGAGTCTTATGAATTTGATACTTATTCAGGACGCGGAACGTATATGGAGCATGACCTTTTGGTTATACTTTGTGCCCCTTATTTGTGTAGCAATTATGCAATATAATTTGCATAACTGGTGAAGTTAGTTATCCCCAGGTCCCATTGACAGCTAGTTGGCTGATTGGTTGCACACTGTACGCCACTAACTAGTCAGTTAGCTGGGATGACTGTCTCAATAATGCCGGGGTTTGGACTGTAATTCTCCAACACAGGTGGGAGCATCTGTAGACGTTGGGTTTTTATCCCTATAAGTCTCGAGCCCACTGGTTTCGAACAAAGGGAGTTGGATATGGCAATTCCACCTAGTGAATTAATTGGCTCTCTAGGGCGTCGCTATATCTTCAAGCAATTGATCCAGGATAGGCCGCATCTGGGCCGCGTTTGGTTGGCAACGTGAGCTTACAATGCCCCCTGTTTTGATACTGGACTAATGCAAGATATCCAGATCCGGTCAAGAAAAGTTCATCTTGAAGGATATACCAGAGGCAATCTTTTCGAGCTTTAACGAGGATATTCGGCCACGTCTGCGTGAAAGTCCATTTCTACGGTTACCTTATGATACAATTCCGAATCAACGGACATTTGTCTACAAATATATGGACGATGATCTCCTAAGCCTTGCTAGAAAGGGAATACCGGTACCAGCTCGGAAGCGAATTTTAAAAGCTGGCTTGCGAGGCATTGCTGAGCTACATGGCCGTGATATTGTTCATTTAGGTACGAAGGTGACGAGCGTGTGCTTTTTGCCTTTCTACTACATAGACTGGATCTAATTACCACTTTTTAGATATCAAGCCAGACAATATCATGGTCAACTACCGTGACACTGGTCCAGAGATGGCCGTCGAGCAGGTCAAGCTTATTGATCTTGAAAATGCAGCCTATCTTCCCAAAGGGAGATGTATCAAAGGAATGTTGGCGGGTAATGACAGCTGGCGGAGCCCTGAAGCTCATTTGAAAGGCGAACTCAATAAACCCTCTGATATATTTTCCTTTGCAGCTGTGGTAAGTCTTCTATTCGAATTAATTATTTACTTAATAGCTAACTTATGATTGCTTAATCAGTGCATCTATGCCATGCTTGGAAAAGTGATTTTCGGTGCTGACGAAGATTTGCGCAAACATGAAGCACAGGGCGCATTCCCTTATGTTATCCGTTTGCAGCGTCAAGTTTCATATTTTGGGGATCGAAAGGGATTCAATGGGCTCCTAACACATATCGGAGACGATGAAATCAACTGCAAGGTCCTTGGATTCCTGTGGGAGGATCGAGTGGCTGACTACCACCCTTACAAGCCTTTCTCTGAATGGCCAGGCGTCACCGATGATGTTCAGTTCAAGGATGTTATCTCGAAGATGACAAACTTGGACCCCGGACAACGGGTGACGGCACATGAGGCGTTGGATCATCCCTGGTTTTCAGGCTCTGAAATTGGTTGAATGCGTCAATTTCCTTGCATGGGCTTGTTTTTCTTTGTTGTCTATCTTGCTCTCTCTGGCTGTATCAGCCGTCTGTACTCCGTACACTCTGTAAATAATCTCCTCTATCCTCCGTACTCCGTATCCATTACTTTTTTTTTTTTTGATTTGAACTTGTTTCTCGTTGAAATTAAAGCCGAACCTACTTTTATATTTGCCCAACCTTATTTTTTTTGCTTCCTTTACATGTGAAAACCTTCTGAGTAACACTTGTTTGCACTGTTTGCATAAATTTTCTTGATGATTAATACACTTTTATATTAGGTAATCAGGAAGGGTATTAATGTTAGACCGAAGGCTTATTTATAAGCAACAAAATAAATGCAAACAGTGCAAATCCATCACGTGCCCCTCTTTTTTTTTACCCCAACTTTTGTTGCTGTCAAAAAGCGACGCCGACGACGCCTCAACTTCAGCTGCATCTTCGTGTCCCTCTGCTGAGATCATGACGATATCTCGCTCTGCAGGCAACTTCTGACCCGCCGCCGAGCCAGCTGGGCTCATAGAGAAGCGCCCTCATCTATCCCCAGGGCTGCGCGCAAGAAAGGCTAAAATACCCCCCTCCCCCCCAGATAACCGATCGGAACAAAACCGCCTGCAAGAGCAAAGATCAACATAGAAACGAGCCATGGCGGAGCCAACATCCACCTGCCAATCCACATCTACGACTCCATCTTTGACTCCAGAGACGGACACTCCGAACTCCTCGACTTCGAATCTCTCAGACGATGGCATCCGCCTCTCGCCCAACGGCATCTACTTGACCCTCAGTGAAATGGGTCAACACGAGAAGTATCACTGGGCTCTGCTTATTGCCCACTCACCCACCGCTGGCACAGTTCTGCAGCAGCTCCGGCCCAACGATGAAGCAGAATGGGAATATAGCATTCAACCTGCAGAGGTTACTACTTCCCGGGCCATGTTGGTTGCGCTCAAGGTGGGCGAGCTACCCGATGTCAACGCCGAGTGGTTGGCTGCGGTAGACGAGTGTGTGCGGTCCTCAAGCATTCGGGACTCCGAGAAGTTTTCCTGCCGGGCCTGGGTGATGGGCGCCATCTTTGCGTTGGCAGATGGTGGGTTTATTGATCTGGAGCCATGCTGGGTGAAGGTTGGGATGGTGGAGGAGGAAGCAAAGGCGTTGGTGGCAGGTGCTACTTCGCTGGATACAAGCATGGTGGTTTCGAGTAAGTATCTCTAAGGGGAGAGACTGATAGTGACGGGGACGTGACTACTGTGGATGAACTGGACTGAGAATCTACGCTGATCTTTTCTTTGATATGGAAAATCATTCTTGTCTCATCTGTGGCTGTGTTATGAACGCGGTGGAAGTGGTAATATTGGAAACTACGGGAATATCAATCTCGGTTTTTAAGCAGGCCTTTATTGAACTAACAATCTTACTAACCCTGCTTGCTATGCTTGTCACCTTGGTTTTTGATGTATTTTTTTGGTATGTATTTCATTTCACTGATCTTTGCTGCGTGTATAGGATATTCCATGTTGTATCCCGTATCTTCAGGGTTCAAGCTCCACTCTTCGCATAATAATTGGTACACTCTACTTCTTGATATTCAATTTCTTTATTCACTGATATAAGTATATACCCGATTTTTTTGAGCCACTGTCTTGTAACAGTGGCCGGCTGCAGTCACTGGGACTTTGACACGTCAGTGACATACCTATCTATAAGTGAATGTTATCCAGGGGGTTTGGGGTATATAAGCCTGCCCAATCTCCCAATTCCTGGATTCCTTTTCTTCTTCCTTTTCTACTTCGTCCCTGAAGTACATTCTTTTTCATGTCTCTTTATTCCACCCCTATAGGGGTATTCCCAGGGGTATATATACCACGCGGCTGCATATACCATAACAGTCCTAAGTTACTCTGAGCTACACTCGCTGCATCTGGATATATCATCAGAGTCGATGCACTCACCCCGACAAATCATCCACACAACACCAGGAACGTCTCAAGCTGCAAAAATATAACCCTACTGCCTCATAAATCCCAACCCAGCTACCGATGCTACTTTTCTCCTGTCTCTTTTCGATCGATGCATGTGCTGCTAATGCCTATGCGAGGCTTATACACAGCTGTTGAGATCATGGTTGATTCTACCAACTGCTAACGGCGGCTGACAATTCCGAATCATCCTCTACTCATGCTTAGCAGAAGGATTCTGGATTCAACCTTTTGCTCAAGGGGGCGAGTCGTGTCAGCAGACGCAGCGTTGATCTATGGAGCGCAATGAGTGAGGCGACAAAGTATCATCCATCAAGTCACCGCACCACATCGGGATCAGATGCAGTTCATGGAATATCCCCGAAATATTTTTTGTTGCTTTCTTTACTCCGCGAGGCGTAACTACTCCTCACTGGCCTGCTCCTGGCCTGCCATCATGCGTTTGTGTCGCCCGTTCATCGACTGCCCGCCCTACGTTTCCGACCCTCTTACCAAGGACTCTGTTTTTGCCCACATGGGGATAACGGCTATATGCGATGAAGCTTCATATCCATCTCTTATAACCAGGGAGGGCTGGATACTAATCATCGACTCGACTGCAATACTGTTGACGTTGGTCACCCTGTCGATGATATACAAGATGCCAATACCCTAAACCTGTTTGAGTCGTACTCTATTGAGGACTACGACCTGAGCTCCTTCGACATATCATATGGTCGACACGATGACTAAGATGATGGCTAAGTACATGATGACTAAGAGGTGGATACATGGATGTGACAGTTGGCCCGCTGAAGAAAGATTGGCGCGTCCTCGCGGCAGCGTCATCATGTCTGAAGGTGAAGGTGAGACATATTGACGTTAGACCGCACCCATCGCATGGGCTACAGTGTCCATGTCTATGTCGATCCAGGGACGAGGAACAATATTCGAATCTTCGATTTGGATGTCTGCAGTACGATTATTATGACAGGACCTATACCATCACTGTTCTCGTGTCCCTGGCAAAGTCATTGGCGAAGAGACGTAAACAGGTATTAGAAGAGTTACAAAAATCTCTTCTCAACTACAGTGTCCATGTCTATGTCGATCCAGGGACGAGAAACCATCTTCGAGCTACTTGCACCACTCAAGCATTCTTAACCACAGCGTTCACATATAGGTATATCTTATGGGAGAGAAAATACTTTTGAGCTGCCTGCACTAATTGAGTGAAAGGCAAAAAAAAGGACTCTGTTTTTGGGATATTTGCCTATCAGCCTGAAGACGAGTATAGGCTCACCTTGAAAGTATGTAAATATGAAAGAACACAGGTATGCCGTATAGGTGTTCAAAATGCTAACTTATGGAAAGGTGCGATTCAATAATCCAGCAATTCAGTCTCAAGGACCTGCTATCGCCCAGTTGACGGCGAAAGCTTACATGTACCCCTGACACTATTGCATAAGTTGCTGCCACAAAAACAGGACTTCGCCTGCAGAGTCGAAGACTTTCACTCATCTTCGAGATATTTATCCCATGCCTGCAAACTTACCCTGTTCGGACTCTCTTATTCGCCATTGCATGGCGAGCAGTCTGACAACAATGACAACAACATGGCCCATGTTTCACAGTCTATAACTAATTAGCGCCTCTCTCACTATATCCCTAGCACAAAGCTACTTATCTATCAGCTGTCGGGGGTGGACAGGTCAAATACCACGCAAAAGTTCAAACAGAACATACATTTTTGAATATAAAGCAAGATACACAGCATATCTTTAGTGGCTCTAGTGCTGTCTTCCCGCGGAAAAGTGCCCCGGGTTGTGTACTTGGCTGGTTAATGGAGTTGAGGAGATATTTATTTTTCTCTGGCGTGCGATGCGGAAAGCACTTCCATACTTCTTCAATAAAAGACCTTGCCTCGATATTTGGAAAGCCTTCGAGCAACACAATGTTTATACTTCACAGTTTCGAGGCTTGTTGAATGCCCGGGTACTGCGGCCTCAGGATCACGACGGAGCAGATGACGAGCTACCATTCCAGCCCGGATTTGCAGCCTGGTTTTGCTGAGTTTTATGCTGCCGACTTCCTACCCATTCCACATGATTCTGGGAATGGACAAAATGAGAGTTCAGTATGTCGCGGACCTCCGCCAGTATGCCCTGGGACATAAATTTGCGACATGACCGACCGACTTGGAAATATTTTGATAACGATTAAATGCAGTGGAGATGTTAGCTATAATCCACCACCCTGCCACTAACATCATCACCGCAGTAGCAGTCTGCACCTTTCCCAGGATATCAAAAGCACATTGATGGCATCAGCAGAACATTATCAAACGGCTGAGCCAAAAAGGCATGCTTACCAATTGACAGCAGAGAGAATAGCCATCTTGCCAGATTGTTACAGTTATCACACTCACAGAGTATGGCTCCTCCGTCGTCCTTTGCTATAGACCTCCAAGTACCCCGTATATTTCTCTGCTAGACACCATCCTACTAACCCTCGACGACCTTTACTCATTTTCACTATCTATCTTTACATGATGACTGAGCTGGTTGGATATTGAATTTATCAGAGGTGCTACCTCACAATTGGTAGCATGTCAGGGGCTTATCTGTATACTAGTTCTTGGAGTTCTTTGGTCTCTGACGGAGCAGTATGAATGTTTGGCTGTTTGACTGTTTGCTATATGCCGAGTGTTATAAGCAGATAAACAAGGCGTTCCTGGTTAGTTCCCTAGCTTGTTAGTTAACTAGTTGGTTGGTTATCAAATTCTTGATGAATCTCGTATCGGCGATGATGCCTGTTTGATACCAGACCAAACACGTATGTAACGACAGGGGGGGTGCGAGAAGTGTGCATATGCGAGTCTATGCGTAGATCCTTGAAACGCCGTTGAGCATGATCGAACTCTGCAGCGAACAAAATCACAAACAGGTCAATGTGCGTAATATATAGCCGGCAGGGCGTAGATGCGCCGAGACTTGATATGATACGAACTAGCATGCAGGTATACTTGTGAAACTGATGGATGAACAGTGTTTGAAAAGTCAATTGATAGGAGTTATGCTGTAAATAGTACAGGACGGACGGGATTGAGTAGACAGAATGTTCGTATCATATCGTGAAATAAGTAACCGACTAGCGAGTGCAGTAACTAACTAGTGGTGATTGTGCTCTTTTTAGTTGATTTTCTTTTCCAATGCCCCCCCGAAGAGAAATGAGATGAAGAGAGATAAGTAGATACAAGACAACGGAATAGGGAATAAAAAGGTATATCCGAAATTATTTGGGAAAGGGGTTTTATACATTCAACCAGTGGGGGTAGTTATGGGTGATAGGCGATAGTTGTAATGGAGTGTGGTGTAGTCTATTTGGTAGTTTCTCTGACGACGGCATCGACTGCCTCAGCGAAGTAGTCGATGTTGTGGACGTTAAGGCCAGCCATGGAGATACGGCCGTTCTTGGTCTGAGAGGATGTTAGTATATAAATAGTATATAAAGCGTTGAGTTAGAGTAAAGACGTACCATGTAGATGTGCCACTTCTCACGGAGGATTTGGACTTGCTCCTCGGTGAGACCGGTGAAGCTGAACATGCCAATCTGGTTGGTGATGTGGTCCCAGGTACCTGGGGTGCCCTTCTCCTCGAGACGCTCTCGGACACCCTTTCTCATCTCGACGATACGGCCGGACATGGTGCGGAGATCCTCCTCCCACTCCTTGAACAGGGTGGCGTCATTGAGGATGAGAGAGGCAATGCGGGCACCGTAGGCAGGGGGGTTAGAGATCTCGGAGCGCTGCAGGATAGCAAGCTGGGAGGCAACATTGGAGAGGGCCTCGGCGGCGTTCGGTCCGGGAGCAGTGATGAAGTGGAAGGCACCAGCACGCTCGCCGTAGAGACCGAAGTTTTTGGCGAAGGACTGGGAGACGCACATCTCGAAGCCCTCGGAGATGAAGTAACGGACAGCCCAGGAGTCACGGGCGAGGTCACCGGAGGCGAAACCCTGGTAAGCGCAGTCGAAGAAGGGGAAGTGGTTGCGTTCGCGGATGACAGTGGCAATCTGCTTCCACTGGTGCTGGGTGGGATCTACACCGGTGGGATTGTGGGCGCATGGGTGAAGGAGGATGACGGAGCCAGAGGGAGCCGCGCGGATGGCCTTGAGCATGCCCTCGAGGTTAAGGCCCTTGTTGGCCGGGTTGAAGTAAGGGTAGTAGGCCGACTCGAGCTGGACGGTCTTGAAGATCTGAGGGTGGTTGGGCCATGTTGGGTTGGAGAGGTAGATGGTGGGCTTGGGAGTGGATGGGAAGAACTTGGAGATGAACAGGCCTCCAAGATGGACGGCACCGGTGCCTGAGATTGTCTGAAAGGTGACGACCTATGGGGGGTGGTTTCTCGGTCAGCGCTGCTTTTCATGTAGATCTGACTGGATGAGGTTGGTTGTCTTACTCTGTTCTCTCTGATGGCAGGGGAGTTCTCGCCGAGGATGAGCTTCTGAGCAGCAGTGGTGAAGTCCTTGAGTCCGGCGATAGGAAGGTATTCGTGGTTGAGCTTGGGGTCTTCCCGCAGCATTCGGTCGGCCTGTGATAGTTGTTAGCATGTGTCTTCATGTGGCATTTTGGCCATCAGCAGTATCAGCAGTATCAGCATCATCAGCAGCATCAAACCGACCTTCTTGACAACGGGGAGGACCCATGGCTTTGCATCGGAGTCTCTGTAGGCACCGATACCGAGATCTATCTTCTTGTCGGAGGTGTCAGCTCTGCAGGCAGCGGCGAGACCAAACAGAGGGTCTTCTGGAGCCTTGGGCACAGCCGCGGGGGTGAAGAAGCTGGGCGTCATGATGTGGCGTGAGACAGTATCCAGACGGTCGCGGGCGATGGTCGAAACAGCAGCGGGAGCCATCTTGCACAGGGAAGAAGCAGGAGAAGCAGAGAGAGGCCGCAGAAGAAGTAGAAGTAGCAGCGTGGCAGGTCGGGCGTGTGACAGGCAAAAGAAAGGAAGAAGGCGAAAGGCCGCAGGGGGAATTGCAGAGCAAGACGGAGGTGGATCCGAGGGTGCTTCCCGCCGCTAACTCCGAGGCAGACAGAAGAACAGACGAGGAAGAGCAGCAGAACGACGAAGAAGACGACGAAGAAGACGAAGAATGCCACCCGCCGGCGAGCGAGCAGCGTAGCTCGTTATATATAGTAGTTGTCTGTCCGGTCTGCTCTGCTCGCTGGCGCTGGCTGTCTCATGTTCTCGCGTGTTCAGCGCCCGTAGCCGCTCCTGCAGGTCGACCGGGATTGCGGTACATGGCCAGAGGTACCTGGCACTCCGTCAGGACCAGGGGGAGAAAAAAAGAAGGGCAAAAGGGCCCCAGAAAAAGAAAAGCGGCCGCATGGCTGATCGCGTTCACGTCTGTTTCATCTGCTTCTAGGCCTTCTCGCTGACACTTGTCGGTCGTTGCTGGGAGGGCCGCCGGGCCAGCTGAGAGGCTGCACAGCCCTGCTCCTGTCTGCCCGATGACCTTGCGATAACCATCCTGACTGGACGCACCCGCGACGCCCGATCTCTTCCATCGTCCTCGCTGTCTCGCTGCGCTTTTTCTTTATTCGTTTGTTGCTCCGGCCTGCCCGGCAGGGATCGAGGTGTTCGTGTTGGGATCCAGTTTGGCCCGCCTGGGGGGTTGCCAGGACAGGCTGGACAGCCGACGAGCTTCTCGAAGGGAGTCTCGGGAGCGCTGGGGGGAATCCGAGATCGATTGGACGGGAGGCCGATGGGCGTCCAGTCGGCGTTTCAGCTCGTCTCGTCGTGTTTTCGCTGCGTTTTGTCTGGCTTTTGGCATCGTCGACGTCGTTTTTTGCCATTTTCAGATCTACATCACGTGTTTTATATAGATGGATGCCTATACTTAGAGAAGAAGCAGAGAAGAAGAAAGCTGAAAAAGAGAAATCATGTATAGAAAAGTCTAGTTGGGCAGCGGCTGGAAGGGCGCCGTCTGCTCGAGCTCGAGGATGGCCTCCAGGACCCTGCTGTCGGTGGTGGGTGTCTGGCGGGAAGATCTCCCTGTTGCCCCTGATGAACCACTCGCGCTCCAGGAACTTGGCCTCCCAGCGCAGCCGTTCAAGCGTCCATTTAATGAACGCTTCACGTTTCAGAAGCTTCCGCTGCCTTATCCACAGTACGCCATTCCACAGCAACTCCAGGGCCGCCTTCTTGCGGCTCTCGACCGTTTCATACTCCGGACCAAACACAACCAACTCCTCTGGGACGGTCTTCCACTTCTTGTCGTACAGCAAGTAATTGTCCTGCATCAAGGGGTCAAAGGAGAGAAACACAGGTTGGTTAGGACTCTGTGTCGGTATCTGGGGCTGGTCGTCGGTGATGCCCACATATATCTTCATGTTCAGGCGGGTCGAGGTTCGCCCGCGGGTGGAATGGGGGAAGCTCGCCGGCAAAGGTCCAGCCCGCGGACGGGTTGAGCCTTACTTTCAGTGGAGAAAAGACGAGCAGCCGGCCGGCGGTAGTAAATGGATGCGAGGTCGGTTCGGATTGGGGTTGGGTTTGAGCCTCGACACCGAGCTGGGAGTCGGAGCTGGAACCATCGCCGTCTCCGTCTTGGGGATCTGCAGCGGGGATTTGTGGCTGGATATCTAATACGGTGTCCATCTTTGCTCTTTCTGATCAAAAAAGAGGTACACAGTAGATCTGTAGATGTACTTTTGCGCCGTTGGTGCCGACATCGTTGATATCAAATTGGGGGGTGTTATATAAGGCTGAGAAGGCGTTCAAGTCAAATCCTAGGCAGACGCAATCTGGATATCACTAGGGGGATATTACGCTGTTGAACCGTTATCCTTACCCATGGCACTCGTTAAGGCCTAACCTGGCACTTCGGGGTAGTCGTTTATTCTAGGTCAAAAAGTGCTGCAGTATTCCCCTAGGTTTGTTTGACTAGAAAATGGCATCCCACAAGATCAACCAGACGCAAAGGACAACGGTAGCCCAGAAGACCATCTGGGCCTCGCTGCGTCGCTCGCTCGCCCGCTTCAGCTCCTTATTGCCTCGCCCGACATTGGTGTGTGTCGATTCAGCGTCCCGGACCAGCTGGTTGATATAGTCTTCCTGCGTAGCTAGATGAGCCACCAGCGTCTGCTGCAGAGAAGATATCTCCAGCAGCGATTTCTCCGCATTTCTTGGTTCATGTTAGCAGTTGTTAATATGTATAACTGATGGATAGCGCTGTACGTACTGGACCTTGCCGAGAGTATCTTCGTAATACTTCAACATGCCATCATTCTCCTGCGCAAACAATTGCAGCTGCTCCGGTGAAAGCTGCGATTCAATAGCAGCAGCCTCCTTCTCGTCAATAGAAACATCTCTGCCGCGTAACGTATCTTCATCTCCACCATCATATCGTCCACTTCCACCACTAATTCCACCACTACTGCCCTCGGCCTGCGTATGAATAGGCATCTGACCAGCTTTAGCCTTATACAGCACACTCTTCTCCTTCTCTCTGACCCTCTCGATCCTCTTTTCCACCATCTCCCTCTGCACCTCCGCAGCACCCTCGAGCCCCCGCCTGAGAAACCAGAGAACACTCTCACGCATGCCAACGATATTCTTCTCTGTATCTTCTGCTTCTTCCTGCTCGGATGACCGAGGCACGTCCACTGGGCCCCCGCCTCCAGCCCACTGCCAGAGGCGCTCATTTAGCTTGCCATGACCGTACTTCTTGCGCAACACAGACGCCTGAGTTTGGGCACGTAGCGATTCAGCTGATGCAAGGTTCCCTATAGAGCGGGATAGATCTTGGAGTAAGGACGCAGTGGAGGAGTCTATTGAGTCTCGTTCGGGGTCGGTTAGGTGGGAAGATATCGAGCTTGAAGACGGGCTGAGCGGGTTGAAGTCTGTGTTTTGCGTGTGGCCGGATGGTCTGGCGGGTACGGTGGATAAATATACTGTTCGTATGGACCTGAGATATGCCAGGAGAGACGATATATGGACGTTCTACTGTCTGTTAGTGGGTTATGTCTGGCATTGGGCGGGCGGGATGGCCACGTACGATTCTATGAGCCTCCTTCAAGAACTCGTCCACCTGGGCGTCGGAGGGACTACTCGTCTCGCCGGAGAGAAGAGAGCTGCCGCGAGCCCTGAGCAGGTCATTGACCGCTGGTGTGAGGTCTGTCATCGTTGATTACCTGCTGTCTTCCTTTTGTCCTCACCCTATTAATTGCATATGCGGAGTTTGTAGAAGTTGAAGACGACGTTCTTTTGATAGGATTGCTTAGTCATCGCCTACATGTGAGGAAGAAAAGCAGATGGACAATAACGACGACGATACAAGGAATTGATGGATAAAACGACGAGGAGAAGACGGAGAGAAGAGATAGATGCATGAGAGATCATAAGAAGAGAAGACATGAGACATCAATCATAACAGCTACCAGTATGGACATGACCAAAAACTCCATGCTAACCCCAGCTTTAAGCCTACCAAAGCAACCCAAATTCCCCCCAAAAAACGCCATCTATCAGAACTAATTACCGCAATATAAAAGGTCACAGCATAATGGACCGTACTTTAAAAGTCAAGACGAATCTCATCATGCAAGTATTTCAGCAACCCAGATCTGTAAAAGAAGAAAAAGACAGACCAGACGCGTTAGCTAGGGACATGGTGCAAAGCCAGCAGGCGGAATGCATGAGACCCTTACCTCCGTCTTGCCCATATCATTATTCTCCTTTCGAGCGACCTGCTTGGCCGCAGCAACAAGCATGTCGAGATCATCCTGGTCCGCAAGGGTGACCATATCCCCGTCATCCTGCATTTTAATCTTCAGGTTACCCTTGAACCCGAACTTTTCACGGATCTTGTTTTCGAACTCGGCATATTCCGTGGTGGGTGTAATCATGATGAAGCGCGTATCCGAGTCGGCATGGACCTTGACCCGGATCTTTTTGATTTCGGGACGGCGGGAAGAATGCCGGTGGCGGTTGGAGAGCTGGTGTTGGGGTGGGCGGCTGCCAACCATTTCGAACTGGATGCATTCTGCTGCATCGTCATCAAGGGGCTCGGATTCGTAGCCTTCTTCGTTGATGTATTCGGGAAGTCGAGTGTGGCCGTTTTCGGCGGCGTAGCCTGGTCCCAGTCCGGGGGCGTACATGGTGTAGTAAGCCTGTGGTTCCTCTGACAAGGGGGAGATGTTGGACATGGGCCGTCGATGCTGGCCGGTGGTCTCGCGGAAGAGCAGTTTTCCATTTGGAGGAGGCCCGTAGCGTATAGCCGAGAGTCTCGAGGCTGGTCCGCGCGGCTCAGATGCAGTTCGGACAGTGCCAACCCGGGGCTTTTCCTGTTGGAGCTTCGGTTGCTGTGAATCTACAGCTGTAGATCCTCCAATGGATTGTGTCTGTTCAGAGGATGCCCTTCCCAGCTCGAGAACAGGCGGTCGAGTTGCCCTGGTCAGTGACTGTTTGCGGGTCAAGCTACCGCTAGACCCATTGCTAGGTGCAAGAGAGGAAGCCTTCTCGTCTGGCGGTGGCGTTGGAGGGAAAGCATTGCGGCTGATAGGCGGCTCAGACTGCTGTCTGCTCCTGGCTGCAAGGTTCTTCTGCACGAGATTGGTAGCACCATACGAGATGTTCTCTGGCGGCCGGTCGTCTCGAGAGCTTTCGAAGACGGGTATCTTGGTCTCATGACCCTGGAAGCCAGTGAAGGTGTTGGCCCTATCAGAAGCAGCCACCAGTCTCGCCTTGCCGAGATACTCCTTGGTTTTGAGGTTCTTGACTTTGGCCTCGCTTGGGCGATATATCACGCCCACTGGTATAGAAAACACCGTATATCCCTAGACCACAGCTTATCAGAACACGCCACAAAAAAAAAAAAAGAATAGATGAACTGAGCAGGGCTTACCTCGGCTGTCTCAGCAATGGCTTCGTCGATGACATCGTGGTCTGGCTTTGCTTTTTCCTTAGCAGCGTAGGTCAGATCGTTCATGCCCGACTCGATTTCCTGCAAGTAGATATAGCACAGCCCGCGGTTGAAGAGGACCTCGCACGAGTAGAGCTTGTACTTGAGGCCGAGCTGCTCGTAGTCGATCGTCGTATTGCCTCGCAGGTACAGCAGCGTGTCGTTGAAGTTGGCGAGGGCCTCTTCGAAGTCGCCGATGAGGAAGTTCGATACTCCCTGCTGGAAGTACGCTATGGCGAGGTACTTGTCCAGGGCGATGGCCCTCTGGTAGCAGTCCACCTAGTAAACCACCCCGTTAGCAAGCATCCCGCCATTTCCCGCAGCAGCATAGTAAACAACAAGATAAACACAGACGTACTGCTTTGGCATGCTCGCCCAGCGTAGCGTAGATGACGCCGCAGTTGAAGAGGATCTTGGAGGTGTCTGCAATCCCGCCAAAGACGGCGATGGCGTCCTCGAACTCGTTGTTGTCGTAGTGAGCCAGCGCCTGAACCCAGGTCTCGATCTCCTGCTGTCCGCGTCAGTCTACCACGGCCTCTTCCTCTGCGCATCCCCGTCTGTCTCTAGAGCCCGGAGGGAGGGACTGACCTGCTTTAACGACATGGCGATTGATGGTGTCCTGGCAGCAATGGACGCAAACTGACGGCGGGCTCAGCAGCTCAGGGCGGGCGCTTAGCAGTGATATATCGACTCGTATCGTCTTTTTCTCGCCAGCGAATTATCGACCGGGAGCTTCCACGGACGGCTGGACCGATGGCGGGTGGCGCGCCCAGCGGACAAGACTGTGACCGGGTGTGATGGCCAGGGATGCGCTGCAGGACTTCTTCTGGCTGCTCGTGGCGATGCAGCATGCAGAGACGGCGGGCGCTTAGGACGGACGCTGGCCCTTTTTATATCACTAACTAGTCAGCCCACCGAACGCCGCCCATCTACGGGCCTGCTGGGTGAGACACAAACCCTCTCGTCTGGTCTGGTCGAGAGCCGGAGGTTCAGGCAGCGCAGCTGGAGACGTCGCTGTCCCCGGCGCTGCTGCAGCCAAGCTGAGGCCGGCGGTTAGCAAAGCAGCGAATCACAGCGGCTGCCAACGACGACTACAAAGAAATTATTCAATGCTAGCTGACGGTTGGTAGTTTTATTTTTTTGGTAGATTCACTAGATGCGACATTTATATATCCCTCAGGCCGCATTGAAGACTGGAGCAGTCTCTTGTCGTGTTGTTGAGAGACATCAGACAATCCCCCTGGAGCGCTGCTCCTCGCGCTCTTCCCATACGTTCTTGCCCGAGCATGAACACACCATCTTCTCGTTGTCCCAGACGCCGGCACTGCGAGCTACGACGCCGACGATGGTGTCTTCGTCATCGATGCTGAAGGGGCCCTCGCGCTGCCTTGATACCACCATGCTGCGTCCGATCATCTCCCACACGGCTATCGGCCGGTCCAGGAAGACATTGCCTTTGCCGTTCTCGTCCACGTCCACACTGCCCACAACTCCCCGTGGATCACTGCCGCTGCCGCTGCTGCCTTGTTGCTGCTTCTCTTTCAGCTCTTTGACGGCTTCCCAGACCCCACCGGTGGACTCGGGGCCGCGGGAGACGTCTCCTGTCTCACGGATAGTGGCCCAGTATCGCCCCGGCGAGAGCCCGTTGATCGTCAGGTCGAATATTGTCAGGCCGCTGGAGACTTGTACCATGCGTACCAGGCCTCGTATCTTATTTGCAACGCCCTCCTTGTGTGTTTCTAGGATGCACACCGAAGCATCTTTCCTCCTCACCCCCGCCCGTTAGTATAAGATGTGACTTGTATATTGCCAACTTTGTAGACGTACTATTTGATGTCCCACTGCCGCGTAGAATAGCGTCCCGGCCAGTGCTTTGGATCGCAGCCACGATGGAAGAGGGTGCAGCAGTACCTTCAACCACGATCAACTGGTCTGCTAAGCTGGCATCGACCTTTTTGATGCCTTTAATTTGTAGTGTGTCAACAGGTGTCTGTCCATGACCGGCCAACCCACAGGGAGGTTACAGACTAACCGGACAGCTCATACAGCGGCTTCGAGACATCCTTGATGCAGCTCTCGCACGTCAAGGGCACCGCAAACGTTGCCTGTAGCCGTGTTAACTAGTTCTAGTCCGTTCGTGGGCTTCGCTCGATATTGAAATCAGGGGACTCCAACCGTACTTGAAATGGCTCGATCATGGTGTCGTCTCTCTCTTTGACTAGAGAATCAGTCTAAGTCTATATCACTCCATCACTCCGCGGTCCCTAGTTCCTGTGTAGAAGGTCGATGTCATCCGTAATATCGCTATCCCGCGCTGTCGAGGGGTCTCTTCGGCCTTATCTACCAGCGGAACATCCTAAGTCCGGCCTGACATTCAACTCCGTAGCCCCGAGAGCTCGAAGAACAGACAGGAAGAAGAAGTGAAGACAAGGCAGCGAAGATGTCAGCCCCTGCCAAATCTCGATGGGCAGATGATAACCCGGAGACAGAGGCCGAACTCCAGCGGCGCAAGCAGGAGAAGGAGGCAAAGAAGCGCGCAAAGGCAGAGCGACAGCGACTCATCGCAGAAAGGCAGCAGCAGCAGGAGCAGCAACAACAACAACAAACACAACAATCGACGGAACCCAGTGATAAACAGCCGGATAAGCCAGAAAATGGAAGTGAACCGCCTACTAAACGACGCCGGCTGTCGAATGAAACCCCCGAAGATGCTGGCGCTGCACCACCGGCAAGGCTGCTGCAGTTTCCAGCCCCGGAATGGGGCCCCTGCAGACACATTGACAACTTCGAGAACCTGAATGCAATTGAAGAAGGATCCTACGGCTGGGTTTCGAGGGCCAGAGAGACGGCCACAGGCCAGATCGTGGCCATCAAAAAGCTCAAGATGGAAAACGCGTACGATGGATTCCCCGTCACCGGCCTGCGCGAGATACAGACCCTGCTTGCCTCGAGACACCCGCATGTCATCCAGCTGCGTGAAGTGGTCATGGGCGACGCAATGGACGAGTAAGCCATGCCCTTTCCCCCTTTTTAGCTCGTGGTTGTTGGTGAAAAGCCCAGATACATTGATAGTCATTAACCTCCTTGTCTGTCCTTACTCGGCTTTCCCGCAGCGTTTTCCTGGTCATGGATTTCATCGAACACGACCTCAAGAGCCTACTAGACGAGATGAGAGAGCCCTTCCTGCCCTCAGAGACAAAGACGGTCCTACTTCAGGTGCTCGGTGCAGCCGAGTTCCTGCATTCGCATTGGATCATGCACCGGGATCTGAAGACTTCGAATCTACTGATGAACAACCGTGGGGAGATCAAACTGGCTGATTTTGGAATGGCGAGGTATTATGGCGATCCACCGCCGAAATTGACGCAGCTGGTTGTTACGCTGTGGTACCGGGCGCCAGAGCTGTTGTTGGGAGCAGACAAGTACGGTACCGAGATCGATATGTGGAGCATTGGCTGTATATTCGGGGAACTGTTGACCAAGGAGCCTCTGCTTCGTGGCAAGAACGAGGTAGCCCAACTCTCAGAGGTAAATCTTCTGTCCTCCCACCGTCTTTTGTCTCGTTAAAAGTGAGTTACCTGCTGATACAGTTAGATATTCGCCCTTACCGGGCCACCAACATCCCAGACATGGCCAGGCTTTCGCTCCCTCCCCAACGCCAAATCACTTCGTCTCCCACCGTCTTCTTCTGATCCTTCTGGCCCAGCCGTCCCGCTACTACCTCGCTCAAAGTTTCCTTATCTTACTTCTGCAGGTCTAAGTCTGCTCTCTCACCTGCTCGCGCTCAATCCGGCAGCCAGACCAACAGCAAAGTCATGCCTGTCCCACCCGTACTTTCGTGAAGATCCCAAGCCAAAGCCCAAAGAGATGTTTCCTACCTTCCCGTCCAAGGCGAATTTGGAGAAGAGACGGAAGCGTGACACCCCCGAGGCGCCCAAGAGGGGGGAGGAAGCACCTAGGCTGGACTTCGCGAATGTTTTTGGGGGAGGCGATTCTGGCCCGACAGAGGCTGGAGCTGGCTTCTCTTTGAGATTGGGCTAGGTCCCTGCCGCCTGCAATGTATTTTTATCTAGCTCCTCTTGTGCAGTACTCTAGAAGACGAGTTACGGGGTTCAATTGGCCCCCTTTGACGTGGCCCGTGAAGAGCTGGTCATACCCTCCTGCCATCCCAGCGAAGCCACACAATTGCCAACACACCCAAGGATCCTCATGCCCAAATCGGCTCTGTGGCAAGGTCATCGGCGTAACTGAACAATATCAAAATCACAATATTTTTCCTTTTTGCTTTCCCCGAGAGCCGCAAGTTACGGGATGACGTCATCCATTTAAGCTTATTTTGCTTAGTAACCCAGTAAACATGACTAAGCAGGTCATCCTCCGCATCTCGACTTTTTTTGTGTCTTTTTTGTTGGCAAATTTGTGGAACCAAACGGAGAAATAAGGAGCCTGCGCAGTCAGGTTGAGGCGAGTTGGTTGCTGGAAGGTTTGCATGCTGTGGTAGGTCCGTCATCCGCGCGAGGCTGGGTCTGGGTGGGTTGGGTGGTTCAGATCAGCCGAGCTGCGCGTAGCAACCATGGACGGGAAATTAGGTAGCAGTGATATTTTGTCTTTTCTTTTTCTCTTATTTCCCTGCATTTTTGGTGGTGGGTTATGAGTGGTCGATATCCTTCGATCCTGTCTCGGAACTTGATCTGTGAAGAGGACCAGAGCTCTTCGTAGTGGTTAGACCTAGAACAGCGAGTTACTCCGAGATCCAAGTAGCTATCTCGAGCTGCGCCGGACAAAATGGATACTCCGCGCAATCAAATGCCGAAGATGACTCCACTGCCGCCGACCAGTGATACGAAGATTTTTTTTCCATCAAATCGGAGAATTCGCTTTTGGAATGTCCACATTATTTCAATTCTCTAGCTCTGGTATAAGCTTCGGGAGCCCACGCAACCGCCCTTTTTTTTTTTTTGTTAAACAGTTGACCGGGTCATCGGGATATTACCAGAACTACCTTGCTGACGCCAGCGCGCCAGTCAGTGTCCTGTATCCGAGGCTCAATGGACGCCACTGCAAAGCCAGGCGCGAACTCGAGATGGCTTCCCTGAATGAGCTGTCCCACGGGCGCGTACCAAACTGCCGTTCCCCTTCCCATAAGACAATCCGAGTCTGGATCGCATCGGGAGTTACACTGGTATGGAGGGTCATCTGGTATCTTTGACAGAGCTAGTCCGCAGATTCTGCATCTTCACGGGCTCTGGATCTTGAGTCTAGAGTCTCGTTTCATGCTGCTGCCCGTTGATCTTGAACTTTAGACCGTGGCCGTTCAAGGGTATCAAGCAGGATATCGATGCTACGGCGAGTACGCAGCCCATTGCCGTCGCCCAGCCAGGTGGAAGCCAACATCTCTGGGTATCATCATCGTCTTGTCCGCTCGCAGCAGCTGTTGGTGCTCTGCTGGTAGTTGACTATCATCGTTGCCCGCCGAAGCTGTGAGGTCGAGATAGAGCCCGGCGCTTAGTCACCCGCCCGTCTTCGTCTTCGTCTTCTTCTCCTCCGCGACCTCGACTTCAACCTCACAATTCAACAGCCGCAACAGCTGCGTCTCAACAAACTCCAGCAACCGACCTCCGACGGGAAGTATAATAGCCCTGCTATAGTAGTTCGTCTTCCGTGACTAAGCCTGCATCTGCCGGCTTTTCGCGTCGGCTGCGCGCTTGGCGACCAGGATTTTCCTGCTTCTGCCGCGAACCCATTACATCATAACGCGGATGGATGGAGCAGGGTCGGGGAGCCCTGGTAACACATCCCGCACACCCTGTTTGCCAGAATACGCTCGCTGCATTCTTTAAAAGGCGCCGTCTCGCCGTCCGTGCTGGGTATGTTCGTCGTGCTTTTCTTCCTTGCCACTTTTTCTTAAACCTGTGTTCTGACCTCCTCCCGTTGCCGGCGCAGATAGCCTAGGAATCAACCTAAAACCCCTGAACTCTCCTTGGTTACTCCTCTCTCCCATCGCTATTGGCTCACCCAGCAAATGAGTTGCGGGTGAACGAGCCGCCGATAACGCTATCTACGTGCTCTCTGTCTGGCTCCCTTTATCTTATCAGCGCATTCCGCCATTTTGAGTCAGAAAGTCAATCCGCCATGAGCAAAGGGGGGGATATCATCATGGCGGACGCCGTCGAGGATTACTGTTCTCCTTCTGTTCTCCCACCACAGTCAACAACATCGCCATCGACGAGCAGGAGACAACAGAGCAACATGAGCCTCTCCCAGACCTACTTTCTTGCCCAGGTGGCTCGCCACAAGCTGATGAACGCCGCTCGACAGCCTGATAGAAACCTCAGGGTCCTCACCGCACATGCAAACATGTTAGATGGCCTCATGGCAGACCTGGCTGAGGCAGAGAACGAGCAGGAAGACTGGTTCAATCAGGCTGTTAGCTATGCTAATGCTGGAAACGCTGTAACGACCTTCAACAACGACAACATTCGTGATACACACGGGAATCCTACCTCCGATTTCGACTTTGACAGTGAAGATGATGACGACGTTTATGACGATTTTGACGACGACGACGATGATGATTATGACGAGTGCGGATCAGACTGCAGCTGCAGCTCTGGATCTGGATCAGACAGCGGAGAGGACATCGTTTTCATGTTGGATGCCCACAACCGTGCTGTCCAGAGAAAGCGCTCTATTTCTACATTATACAACGAACTAAATTCTACCCTTTCCGATGCAGAACCAGAAGAAGAGACAGATTATAATCACTATACTAGAGACAACATCCAGCAGCCACCTGAACTTCTTCATGATCTGGACGAAGAACCAGACGATGACAGCCAGCCTTCGTCTCCAAGACGAAATAGCTTTGACTACTTCGCTGCATCTTCCCCCACTATAGAGGAAACTTTGACTAGCTCGGAGGTAGAAAAGGGGGCCGAAATCGCTCAGAGTGACGATAATGGTGAAGATGTACCACTTCTCGGATACTGTTTTTCTCGCTCTTCGGTGTTGCATGGTTAGGTGCTACGCTTCTTATTCTTGCTATTTTGTCCTACTCCTCGCTGGTTGGGGGCTGGCAGTTTTGGTTGGGAATATTTATGCGTTATGATATTATTAATCTTATGTGATACGATGCCATCTTCTGAAATGTCACTATATATATAGGTTATGATTAGATCTAGAGATGGACAAAATTATACCCTACTAATTACTGTTAAGGCATGGTCTACCTGACTCTCTACTTGAGTATAGCTGAAGGAAATATTATAGCAAATCTATTTTTTTTTTTTTTTAAATACATCCATGTTTCCCGCAGATTCAGTGAACTCCATTTACTCCATTTGTTCCTTTTGTGCTGGTACAGTTGGTGCCGTTGGTACCGTTGACTCCCACGTCCATGTTCAACTTGGCCAACGCCTCCATCGTGCGATTGCATTTAGCCAGCGGAAGAGATACTTCAATCTCCTGGTCTCGCAAGTCCTTTAGATACTCGCTCACCAATGGGTTTATTCCGCTCTCATTCGCCCTCGCAACCCATTCATCCAAGGTCACAGTCTCAAATGCAGCGCCACCGGCTTCCTTGCCCAAATACTCCCCCAACTGCTGTATAGGCACAACAATCTCGCCTCCCTCATGGATGAATTCCAGCTTGTATCTACCTGTGCAGGAAGGTGACGAAGCAGGTCCCAATTTCAGCACGCTTTCAATGATATCCGAGGCAACGTATTTGACATTGATCAGGTCCAGATATCCCGTCCAGTTTATGAAGCGAGGCACGATCTTCATCTTGCGGGAATATGTCAACAGGTTGTTAACTACGTCTATCTGAGACGTAGCAGTGCCAAGAATGTTAGTGGGCCGGTGAATGTAAATTGGTAGACCAAACTTCTCGTTCACATTTTCCAGGTATACCTCGCTCGCCCATTTCGATGCAGTGTATCCGTCCGATCCGTCGCTGGGCGGTGGGTATGCAGAGACAGAGACCTGGTCGAAGAAGTCGGCGCCACTGAGGTGGCCCACTCCCGCAGTCGAGACGAAATGATAGGGGATGAATCTCTTCATGGCCCACCTAGCAAGCTCCTTGGTAGACGCTACATTGGGGCCGTAGAGCGTTTGATACCCCTGAACGAAGGACACCAGGGCGCCACAATGAATAATTGCTCCACAGCGAGCAAGGATCGTTTCTTCATCTTCTTTTGAAAGACCAAGTCGGGGCAAGGAGAGATCACCAGTGTATGTCACAACTTTCTCGGAGTTGAGGTTACCATTTCTTGCGACGCCTGTTCCCTTTGCTCGGATGGCTACACAGTGAATCTTCGAGATCTCAGCACTTGCCTCGAGCTGTTTGAGGATCTCATTGCCTAAAAGGCCGGTACAGCCGGTGAGAACAACTTCGATCTTGTCGCCGCTGGATTGACGAGGCGAGAATCTGCTCAGGGGCATCTCAAGCTCTGGGCAGACAGCAACCTCTTTCTTCCAGTCAATCGGCTCATCCGCAACGTCTATTTTGACCTCTCCGGCTTTAGCGAGCTTCTCCAGAGGAGCGTTTTGGAAGAGATCTTGAAGCGAGATGAAAACACCTTCTGTCCTGGCGGCTGCAGCAACTTTCATCGCAGTAATTGAATCGCCTCCAAGCTGGAAGAAACTGTCTCCAGCACTTATATCGGCAGGGCTCATTTTTAATGCTTTGGCCCAGATTGCTTGAATTTTCCGTTCCATATCCGTTGACACTGGCCGTCTCTCTCTGACTGGGGAATATGCTTGAATATCTTCCCGCGATAACGCCTGCATCGCAGCCAGTAGGCCTTTTCTATCCGTCTTTCCAGATGCGGCAATGGGAAGCCTGGATAGGGGTATGAATGTAGTTGGCACCATGAAATTTGGAACAGACTGTCGGAGCTTCTCTTCTGCCAATTTTACATCAGCACGGAATTGGTCACTAGGACTCTCAAACAATGAGGGTTCCTCGCCCTTCACGATGCCATTTTGCTCGTGCCCTTGCCAGACGAATGCAACAAGACGTGGTTTATTACCGAGTTGAC